CTAAATTGTATGTAAGAAAAATGTTTAGAGACTGCAGGTGATGATGTCTTTGGAAAGAAAAGTCACACTTAGCTCTCAAGACAGACAGCAGGAGCGGCTGCTCACCTTAACCAACTAGGGATTGAGCTGTGCCAAGGTTTGATTGTGGTTCTGGAAAAATGCAGTCGCAGTCCACCCCTGATTCTCCCTCTTTCTAGAATGTAGTTTTTCTAAGGTTTCCAATCAAGAGCCTGTTACATTCAACTTTACTCTGAAAATGAAGCCTTTTGGGTTTCTAGACTAATGAGGGCAGTCTCAGTTGAGAGAAATATGATGTAATCTGAAATAAATAAAAACTTTCCTAAGACTAACATAAAATCAAGATGGTAAAACAGACATACTTGATTACATAAAATTTAAAAATTTCAATGTGGTAAAAATAATCATATAAAATATGAAAAGAAATGAGGACTTCTATTTCTAGTAATAGGGTCAACTCTCCACGGAAAATATCTAAAAATTCTGGTGTGATGTTTAGAAAGTCACCTTCAAAGTATGGACTCGATGGTGGTTAAGTGCTCAGGAGACAGAAGCAAGACACTGGAGCACGGTTCCAATCTGGGGTGATGGCTTCGTGGGGCAAGGGTGGGCTGGAGGGAAGGTCCAGTTTCTGCCCAAATCGGGAGTCTCAACTGAGACCAGAGAGGGACAGAGTGAGAGTGAGAGAATGAGAAAGAGAGAAATAAAGAAAGCCAGAACTGAAGCATCCAGCTCCAGGACTCGAACCATGGTCAGCCATATTGGAGTCCTGCACCTTTAACCACCATGCCACTCTCTCTCTTTCTCTCACACTTTCACTTTCTCATTCTTGCTTTGTTCCTCTCTGGTCAAATTGAAATAAATAAACAAATGGATAAAGTTAAATAAAATAATTATTTAAAAATAAATAATAACCACATTAGGTGAGGTTCACTTACACTCAAGGAGAAAGGTTATACACAGGCAGGTTATACACAAAGTATACACACTCGGAGGAGGTAAGCTTGGGGGCCAGCTTATGATTCTGCGTGTACTTGCCAGAGAGAAAACAGATAAAGAGAGAGCGAAAGTGAAAAAAGTACCCCCCCCCCATGAGGCATGGTCACTTCGCACCTCTCTCCTCCACTTCTTCCTTCTTCCAGGATTTTGGGCATGCATGCACATGCACCCAGCATGTTTCTCAAGCCATCATGTCTAGGACTTGGCCACCCCATCAGCCATGTCAAATCTAACCACCTTAATCACCAGACCACGGGCTGGTCCTCTTAGCCGATATTTTTAACTGTGTAGTTTTCTTATGATTGAACCACAGTTTTTAAAATACATTCTGGATACTAGCCTTTCATCAGATAAATGCTTTTCAAGTATTTTCTCCTAGTTGATAGTTTGTCTTTTAATTTTTAACAATTTCTTGCAAAGAACAGTTTTTAATTTTAATGAAGTCCACTTGATCATTTTTTCTTTTATGCTTTATGTTATTTTCTTTTGCTGATAAACATTTACTGCAAAGTTAATGACTTAAAACAAATTTATGATCTCAGTTTCTATGGGGTGGTATTGGAGTTAACAGGATCCTTTGCTCATGGTCACATCAGGCTTAAATCAGGGTTCTAGACAGGCTGCCTTGCTTTCTGGAGTTCACTGTCTTCCAAACTCATGTGGTGTTTGGCTGAATTCATTTCCTTCTAATCATAGGACATAAGTCCCTGCTTTTTTTGCTGGCCACAACTAGGACTGTTCTTGCCTCCTGGAGGCTACCACCATTTCCTGCCACTTAGTCTTCTCACAGCTTGGCAGTTCATGTCTTCAAGGACTACAGGAGGCTGTCTGTCTGACTTCTCATGTCTCTGACTTCCAGACTCTTATTTAAGATGACCCCATGCATAGTGGTGATCACTGTGCATTGGGAAATGGATCCCACGTGGCCGACTGGTTCAAATCCAAGCCCCAGCGATTTGGGGGTGGGGGGGACGCATCAGATACATTTGCGTGCATGCCTCAAATCCTAACAGGATGAAGAAATGGAGGACGAGGGATTACGACTTGATTATACCCCATTATGGGGTGGGTTCTCTCTCTTTCTCTGATAGCACATGCACCATCTGGCAATTTAAAAAAATTAAAAATAAAAGGGCTTGAAGCCAGTGGGCGGTGTGGTGGTGGGTAAGAGTGTTGGACTCTCACATGGCTAACTGAGGTTCAGGTCCTGGACCTGGCGGCTTACTTCGCCTCTCTCTCTCTCTCTCTCTCTCTGTCCCTCTCTGGTCAAATTGAAACAAACAAATGGATAAATAAAGTTAAATAAAATAATTCTTTAAAAATAATAATAAAAGGACTTACCACATTAGATGAGGTTCACTTTACACTCAAGAGGAAAGGTTATACACAAAGCATACACACTCGGGGTAGGAAAACTTGGGGGCCAGCTTATGATTCTGCCTATCATATAGTTTGTTCTTTTTTTGTGTCTTATCTAAGAAGCTATCAGGGCTGGCAGGTGGCATGGTGGTTAAAGATGCTGGATTCCCACATGGCTGACCACAGTTTGAATCCTGGACCTGGCGGCTTCCTTTCTCACTTTCCTTCTCTCTCTCTCTCTCTCTCTCTCTCTCTCTCTGTCTCTCTCTGGTCAAATTAAAATAATAATAATAGCAAATGGAATTAAATAAATAAATAAATGTTTTTTAAAGAAGAAAAGAAAGAATCTTTGCCTACCCCAAAGTTGTGAACTTCTCCCAGAAGTTTTAACCTTCGAGTTTTCCATTTAGATCTATGATCTATTCTATTTTTAAATGTACGAAGGTATGTTTATATGCAGACATTTACTTACTGTATTTAGATATCATTTCTATACCATAAAATTCATCTTGGGTTTTTGTACATTCACAAAGTCATGCCATCACTTGCAGCTATCACAATTCCAGACGTTTCCATACACCCAAAAGAAACCCTGAATTCGTAAGCAGCCACACCACTTGGCAGCTGCTAATCTACTTTCTGTCTCTATGGGTTTGCCCATCATGGATGTTTTGTGTCTACTTTTTGGCTATTACTAAATAATGCTATGAATTTTTCTTTCTGTTTTTTTTTTTTTTTTTTAACTAACATGAGAACAAGC